GGGGGCTCCAGCTCCTCCACAGCCACGATACCAGTTTGTGCACATTCCTGTCTTTAAAAAGAATATATATATATATTTAATTATTCTTTATTTTACTTCAAAGAATATAGATTTGCTAAGGCTGTTTATCCACCCACTTCTCTATCAAAAATAAGTATTATTTGCTTCCTTCGTGCCACTCCTGGTTTAGTGACTTCCCTGCTGCTCCAACAAGTGTGTTTGTTTACTTGTTCCCACACTACATGTTTGTAAAGGTTATTTGTTCATGTATTTGTGGGTTTATTTATGAAGAATATTGACCTGCTGATCTGTTCACCTGCCTTTCTATCGAGGGTGTTTATTAATACTATTTATTTATTTAGATATTAGTTTATTGAGAAAATTTGCTTATTTATTTATTGACTTATTTAAGACAATAAACTTTTAACTTATTGGTTAGGAATCGTTTCCAGCCCTGATCACCCCCTGGGGCTGCAGGAGGGTCCTGGTGCCCTGATTCTGCCCACGTGTGTGGGTGGGAGCAGGATTAGGGCCAAGGAGATCCCGGGCACTGACCCTGAGCAGCCACGTTCCTGCTGGCACAGAGTCTGTGAACTCTTCCAAACCTCTTCCCCATCCCAAAGCCAAACCTTCCAATTCTTTTGGCTAAAAGCTGGATTTTTCCCAATCCCTCTGCAGGAGCATCTTCCCCACTGGAATTTCCAGGAAACCCCCTCCCCCCGTTGGAAGCACAGGACTCCCACCTTTCCTCCAGGCCTCTCTGCCTCCATCTGAGCCCTCAGTTCCTCCCAGGTCGGTTTGGGATTCTCCCTCTTTCCTCTGGGATTCTCCTTTTCCCTCTGACATCCTCACGCATCCAGAGCGTTGGTTTTTCATGGCAGTTTAGAGGGAGGAGCAGAAACAAGTTGGTAAACAAATGAGATTAATAGAATTTTTGTTATTCTTTTTTTTTTTTTTTTTTTTTTCCCTTGAAATCCCCGAGTTGGACCTTCTGAGGGAAAAGTTTGGGATGTGGTTGTTCCTGGAGGGACCCGGAGCTTTCCCAGGGGCTTGATCCAGGACCTGCTCCAGGCAGGACACCCCGGGTGAGGGTCCCACTGCAATGGAGCAGCCACCCGAGCAGGAAGGGACAATCCCTGCCCCTTCCAGCAGGGAAGGGTCCCAGCAGCTCCCACAGGAACCCGTGGGTGGGGAAGAAATTCCAGAGGGCAAGCGGGAGAGCCCGGCCCCAGCCGTGGGGCAGCCGGGCTGTGCCCCACATCTCCCCCCCGATCAGCCTCCCAAGGAAGATGCTCAGGAGAAGCAGCCCACGGAAGACACTGGGGGGTCCTTGGCTGCTCCCCCCATTCCCAGCCCCAGTGCCGGGGGGTCCCCAGAGGAGCCCCCCCGAACCCGCAGCCCCGCTCGGGAAGCGGAGCCGGAGTTTTACTGCGTGAAGTGGATCAGCTGGAAGGGGGAGCGGTCGCCGGTCGTCATGCAGAGCCAGAATGGGCCCTGCCCGCTCCTGGCCATCATCAACATCCTCCTCCTGCAGTGG